GCAAGGCTTGAGAATTACAACATCAATGTGGTTGAGTTCCGTAATATTAGAAGGACAAGTTGTGTGCAGAATTTGTTGATTTGTTGTTCTTATGGTAGGCTGTTTCTCATTTTCAGCTGGTACCTGTCCGTCTCAGCAGATAAATACCTGTCTATTGGGAAGGCATAAACATGTTTCTCATAGGGCGAAAACGATAAAATGGCGGTGACACAAACACCTTGAATCGAACACATTCTAACCCATACTTTTGTTTGAATATCTCCACACTAAGATGTCCTGATTTAACAACCATCGGGACTCATGAAGTATCTCTTTGTAAAAGAGGATGGCATAATGTGAAAGCAGATTAAGTTCACAGAGCATGTAGGCTCGTGACGCGCGGTTTCCTAATCACTTGCAAACTCTGATCAAACTGACTAAGGTATAAATTGATTGTAATAGAACCTTCAGCCTGCTGGATCCAAGGCGCTCACATGCGATAGTCCATTACACGTGACGCCCTAACAGCATTTCTGTAAGCTGACCCTTCGCAGAATGATTGAACGCATCAGGGAGAAACGGGCGCATAAGTTGTATTAAGAAAAACCACTCCTGGGTAAGGCCCTTTTCTAATTTTTTAGAGTAAACTGAAATATTTAACAGCCGTTAGGCCTATTCACAATAATGTTTACAAAGCCGTACTAACGTTCCAATGACCTAGAAAATTTGCGAGCCAGAATTACGTCCAGAAAATCTGAACCAGGTCATGTTTGTGAACATACACACTCGTCATCCTAACCAAGCAATCATCAGGATAGATAGCATGTTAATTCTTGTCGTGTAGAATCATTTCAATTTTGTTGACCTTGAAAGGTTCCCCCAAATCTTTAGGATTACGTGAAATACAAGCCGAATGAAGGGTATTTCTGAAAAAGTGGATAAAAGTAACATACAGTACAGTTGACTGAGTGCTGTGTAAAAATGAAGTTCAACGCATATTGCTCAACTGCTCTGTTTACCTCGCTAGGACGTCCCAGGCTGTTGTGGCTCTTCACATCACAAGACGGACTTCGTTTTCATACCCGTTTTCGTGATCCGTTTAACACAGAATAGTAAGGGCTTTTATGCTGAATGGTTTTTGCAGTCGAATTGAATTGGGAAATAGCGAATGAAGCGGACCACCCCAGCGTCACACGTTGTATCAACATCATTTTCTATTTCACGTGATGGGACTTGGAGAAAAGTATCAGCTGGGATGAATCCAAGTATGGTGGCGAAATAGTTACACGGGTGCGTTTAACCAGACTGAGGCCTTAGTATCAAATGGCATCTGAAACAACTGGACTATTGCTTCGAATCAATATTTAGCACTAGAAAAGAATCCAGATGGTTTTGATCTCAACCACTGATAGAACATGCTAGTATTTTGTATACGTTGCGGGGCTGGATACGTTGCGCAGTACAACAGTTTCGAAATTCTTGATTCCGCTGTTCGCAAAGCCAAGAAATCCTGGGCTGCACCTCACTACGCTGGATAACAACACACTGATGATGTCACATTCACTGGCAATGAAACGTTTGTAATCAAATCACCCCGCCCAACGAACAATCCAACGACCACATGCGCTACCTAAGCCTCCAACATCGCACTCTTTAGCAAAGAAATCTTTGATGTAGGTCTGAAAAGGAATCATTTTGTTCAACTTCCGTGCTTCGAAGGCATTGTTTATTCATTCAATACGATCGGAAGGCTGATAAATCATTAAGACAAAGTTCATACGGTGTAAGACCGCAAATGATTATTAGACAGTGCAACGCCCGCATACTATGTGTTAGTTGGCAGAGCCTAAGAACCTTCCCGTATTGATTTACATTCAATGTTTGGCCGTATTATATGAATCCTCGAATTACTCTGGGATGGCTCTTTTTAAAATTGAAACCCCGCCTTATTCTGCTGATCACAACGAATATTTCCTCGTATGACAGAGAGTTTACACAACCTCATCGTCGCCACAATTGTGGAAACTTGCTGTGGTACATTATTCCCCGGAAGGTCCGTTCATTCTTTGTCCATCCTGAATAGGTGACCCACTATGTAGGGCAATCTCCTGACGCTTTTTATTTCCGAAGCAAAACCTTGACTAACTAGATCAAAGTATGCGTTTATCGTCAGCAACTACGTTCCTTGGTGTTTGAACCCTGATCGCGTGTTGTCATTTCAACAATCAAACAAAAAGTAAATTCAGCCAAACTCCAATTCTTCCTTCCGATGGAGCGGATTTGAAGCCTACTGTGCTACGAGCAGACCTATTGTGCTGAGCTGAACAGAAGTCAGCGTATACGGTTAAAGCTCGTCTGGCATACCCAAGCATAAGAACACAGCAAAAAAACAGCTCCAGTTGCGCGTATACAAGAATATTTGGTCTCCACTTTCCCTTACATTTGGCAGGAGAATACAGCTCGTTTTTTGCTGATATTCAAGTAACTGTTGACAGCGCCCCCATGAGAGCATTGGTAGCGTAACTTTAACGATAATTGGCAGGCACGATTAACTGATTAATTTTTTCCCTTTGGATATATGACTATGTGTAAAAAAAATCATCTTAAAAGAATTCTGGAGGACAAAGATTTCGATGGGATCCACCCAATCGAAAATTCCAAGCAAAATTTCCAACAAGACTAACAGGTCACAAAATTCCTTCACTTCTCATTCGTGCGAAACAAATTGTGTCCCACTGTGCACTGAATGCATCAAGTGTCTGTCACTAAATTCAGGTAGAATTCAAAACACCAGTTTAGCACCTAGATATGAAAAATTGTATGGGAGATGCAAGAGAAATTACCATTTTACCAACCGTTTTGGTCATCCAACTGAGATTTCGAACGACTATCATTACCTAACCGAGTGCTCTGCACCACTTTACTTTATTTGCATTTGAGTTACAAATCCAGAATATGTCGGGTCCAGAAAACAGTGTGCCTGATGTGTGTGATTGCAGTCCACCCCGAACACTACGGAATTTTCAAGGATTATTACAAATGAGGGAAACAGGAACGAAGAAAATACGGTGCCAAAATGTTGTGCATGTGGACCGAGGAATGTTGAGGATTTGAAAATGTGTTTTACGCTATGCCTCGTGTGAATCATTTTGTCCACGAACCGGCTGAAAGTTTATGGCTTATCGTTTATACATATATACAGGCACAACATAGGATTCCACGAAAGGTAAGCGAAAAATCGGTGGACCA